AGGCAAGTTGACTGGGTTAAGCCCCTGCCCAGTGATATGTCTGGCTTCTGAATTTCCCTTGTCATGTGGCTTAAATGGGTTGTCTTCTTGACTGTGTGCATTTGGGGACCCATGTTCGGTAACCTATGCCTTGGGTAGACCTGAGTGGCAGGTAAAAAGTGGAGCAGTCTCTAGCAACAGAGCAACAGTGATGGAAAAAGTCCAGTTATGATGGGAAATCCTGGCATCAGGGTACCTGCATGGACTTAGGACTCCAGTGTTAAGCTTTCAGGTTGCTTTCAGAGTCCCAGAATTGGGGTGCACGCTGCTCCACAGTGCCATGGTAGTTAATTCAAAACACCAACCCAACTGCTGTTAAGGCTGTTGGGACTTGTAGGCACTCATTCACAGAACTCTGTGGATGAGTGATACAGCCTAATCTATCTGTCAAATCTGACAGACAGTGAGGGGAAACATCTCCCCTTACTATCTGTCAGAGGAAGGCTGCAGCTACGGGAACATGTTACAGTTACTAAAAATAGGTGGAACATGTAACATGATCCCAAAGGTGAACTTATCCTTTAAAGAATTGTAAGCTTTTGGTGTTCCTCCTCCTTAGGGATCTGACCATCAGGGATCCCAGCTAGTTTTGGACCCTGTGGTCGGGGGGTAATCAGTCAGCTTCCAGACCCTGGCAGCAGTGAACTCAGTCAGCCTCCAGACCCTGGCAGTGGGATACTCAGTCAGCTTCTAGGCCCCATTGGTGGAGCACAGTGGATCATCCGGAGGCCACTCCTCAAGGCAGGGGAACTGTCATGACTTGGTTCACCTGCTGGTGGGGCTATGGATCTCTGGGCAGAAAGCTGTAGTTTCAGTGTCCACCAGCAGGTGTCTCTCCAGCAGCCAGCTGGTTCCTGCAATCAGCTCCACCTGGCCACACCTGCTGTGAGGATATTTAGGTTCCACCTCTGCTATTGCTTCTTGCGCCAATGTTTTGATTGCCATGCTTACTGCCAGATTCTTATGCCTGTTATCCTGCTCCTAAGATAGCCTTGTATCCTAAATCCTGCTGCTTTATTTCTGCTCTCCTTGTTCCAGTACCCAGCTCTGATTCCCCCTGTCCTTGCCCCTGGTATTTCCCTGTTATGCTTGCTTCCAATCTTATATATATATTGTATTTACTTGTGTATATAGTTAGTTGTCAGGTTTCTGCATTTTTTTTTTGCATTAGTTTTGATTTTCATGCATTCTCATGTTTATTGCTGCTGGTGTGTGGTCACCTTACACTGTAAATAGATCTCACTTTAAAGCGGAGTTCCAGCTGAAAAAAAAAAAATCAGCAGCTACAAAAGCTGTAGCTGCTGACTTTTAAAATACAGCCACTTACCTGTCCCTCAGTTGAGCGGCGTCCTCACCATGGCTGGTTTCACTGGCCGTCTTCTCTTCTCTATGCCAACATCTTCAGAGTGGGGCACCCGGCTGTGACAGCTTGTGGCTTCACAGCCGGGGCCCACTGCACATGCCCTAAAAGCGCTGAGCTTTCTGAATGGCACCATAGTCTTCTGGGACCTGTCACATGTCCCAGAGGACTACGGGGAGAGGGGGGGGGACAACTTTCACTTCCGATCGCCTAGTCAGACTTACTTCAGCCTTTGTATAGGACACAAGAGATGGGTCCTGGACAGGAGATATATTTCTTAACCATTTGGGTTATGATCCCTTTAAGGGACAGTTATAATACTCATGGGTTCTCACCCATGCAGGGTGAGGGGTTACAGGGTAGTCCAGACAGAGAGGAGAGGATTGATTTCAGTACTCTTTGGATTTTTAAGTCCCCATTTGGCACCAGGAATTTGGATGTTCAAAAAGATACTGGATGGGAAAGAGCCTGCAAAGACTTTGATCATGGAAGGATTAACCACCAGCAAGGGAAGCTTGATAAGCTGCGGGAAGGAGTCCACACATGTTTATAAGTGGAGTAGTTCACAGCTATGAATAAAATATAGACTTTAGAGACTGAGACTCTGCTTTACCAAGCTTCCGTGGTTTTTCCTGTACCCCAAAGCATGCAAAACCCTAAACCCAAGTGTGGGACTGGTATATTGGCAGTGATCCATACCAGGATTATAAAGTGTTTGCTTTAGATTTGATGAAGAAATTTGCTCTTTTGTTTGTTTATTATGTCCAAAAAACCCTGTTACTTCTACAAGTAGCTGGCTGGATATCTTTAGGCTCTCCAGATAACACCCTTTTAATGCTGGACGTTTATTTGAAGTGAATATCTTGGTGCCGGATTCTTACAGTCCTACATCAAATGCAACAACATTTATTCATTGCTCACTTGTCAGTAACTTTTACATCAAATTAAAATTTACTTTTTAACTACCTTTTTAAAAAAAATATTAACATATTTGGTTATTCCTGTCCTATAGTTTATTAGTATGTCCTTGCATAATTGCATATGTGAACGTTTGCATCTTTCCTGTATTATTTTAAAAGTATTTTCATTTTAGACTTTGTAATTATTTAACACTATAAAAACGTGTGGCCTGTTACTAAACATGTGTCGGTAGTGCGATAGATTTAGAGAAGTTTCACAGAACATTTTGTTAAAGTTCAGCTACTCTATCTGTGATTACATGACAGTAGTTTAGGGACTCTCTCTCAGGTAGATATTGCATCACAGAACTGACAGAAGAGATAGAGAATGGCCCTTGTGCCTGATCCATAACAGTCATTGCCTGTTACATACATTTCAAGATTCATTCCAACTATGAAGATAATCGAGGCAGCCGACAGTTACCCTGCAGCTGCATGGATTTATGATGCCACTGTCAAGGAAATGAGCCGAAATGACACAGTAGCTGGCTTTAGCTGCAAATAATGTGATAGGCTGTACAGAAGTACTGTAGCAGCTGCTGTCATTGCAGGTAATAGGCTATAAAGAAGGCTGATAGCAATACCTGTCATTTTTTAATGGCTGACTTCACTGAAGAGCTTTTGTGGCCTTTAACATGGAGATAATATAAGATACAACAAATTTTACAGCTTTCATGTTGCATTCATAATTTATCTTCAGAGTACAACCCAACAAGGACAGTATTTGCCAACACAAGAAACTGCAGGACTGCTCCATAACTGTCTATTCGGAATATACGCTTGGTGGTTATTAAGTCTTTATCTTACTATTACTCATGCCTAATCATAAATTCATGCTATTTTTATATGTGCTTTGCAGGAACAAATGCTATGCTGTTGCAATCTCATCAAGTTTATCAAAAACTGGAAGCAAAGAAATTATTACTGTTGTTACATAAACTTCAATAGCAGTGTCCAACACCTAATTTTTAATTTTCTAATACGTATGGACCTATTTAAACACAAAGAGCAAGTCAGAAAGTACAATAACAGCAGCCAATCAGCAATTGCTGAATAGTGTAAAGCCAATATACACTGCTCAAAAAATTAAAGGAACACTTTGAAAACACATCAGATCTCAATGGGGAAAAATATCATGCTGGATATCTATACTGATATAGATTGGGTATTAGGAACATAAGTATGCCCCATCATTTGATGGAAATGAAAATTATCAATCTACAGAGGACTGAATTCAAAGACACCCTGAAATCAAAGTGAAAAAAATAATGCAGCAGGCTAGTCCATTTTGCTGAAATTTCATTGCAGAAACTCAAAATGGTACTCAGTAGTTTGTATGCCCCCCACGTGCTTGTATGCATGCCTGACAATGTCGGGGCTTGCTCCTAATGAGACGATGGATGGTATCCTGGGGTATTTCCTCCCAGATCTGGACCAGGGAATCACTGAGCTCCTGGACAATCTGATGTGCAACCTAGCAGCTTCGGCTAGACCGAAATATGATAGAAGAGGTGTTCTATTGGATTTAGGTAAGGCGAGCATGGGGGTCATTCAATGGTATCAATTCCTTCATCCTCCAGGAACTGCCTGCATACTCTCGCCACATGAGGCCAGGCATTGTTGTGCACCAGGAGGAACCCAGGACCCACTGCACCAGCGTATGGTCTGACAATGGTCCAAGGATTTCATCTTGATACCAAATGGCAGTCAGGGTGCCATTGTCCAGCCTGTAGAGGTTTGGGCGTCCCTCTGTGGATATGCCTCCCCAGACCATCACTAACCCACCACCAAAACAGTCATGCTGAAAGATGTTAGAGACAGCATAACATTCTCCATTGTTTCCCCAGACCCTTTCACATCTGTCTCATGTGCTCAGTGTGAAACTGCTCTCATCTGTGAAAAATACAGGGCACAAGTAGTGGACCTGCCAATTCTGGTGTTCAATGGCGAATGCCAATCGAGCTCTTTGGTGCCTGGCAGTGAGCACAGGGCCCACTAGAGGATGTTAGGCACTCAGGCCACCCTCATGAAGTCAGTTTCTGATTGTTTGGTCAGAAACATTCTCACCAGTGGCCTGCTGGAGGTCATTTTGTAGGGCTCTGGCAGTGCTCATCCTGTTCCTCCATGCACAAATGCTCAAATACCAATCCTGCTGATGGGTAAGCAACCTTCTATGGCCCTTTCCAGCTCTCCTAGAGTACCTGCCTGTCTCCTGGAAACTCTTCCATGCTCTTGAGACTGTGCTGGGAGACACAGCAAACCTTCTGGCTATGCCACGTATTAATGTGCCATCCTGGAGGAGTTGGACTGCCTGTGCAATCTCTGTAGGGTCCAGATAGCCCCTCATGCTACCTGTAGTGACACTGACCCTAGCCAAATGCAAAACTAGTGAAAAACAGTATAAAAAGATGATTAAGGAAACAAATGTCAGTTGCCTTCACCTGTAAAACCATACCTGTTTCATTAACACCAAAGCAGCTGAAACTGATCAACAACCCCCTTTGCTACATAACCCCCATGGTGGTATTCCCGTGTGTAGCTCAGGGTAAAGTTTCGGCACCACAAGCGGTAACTCCGAGCTACACTCGGGAATACCTTGCAGCGCTGCTCTGGGATCCCTCACCTTGTCCTTCGCTCCCAAGATGTCCCCCCTGCAGAGTCCCTGGCCATCTCTTATGTCAGCATCCGTCTTCCAAGTTCCGGTCCATGCGAGCGTCGGGATGTACGGGACGTACAGGGGACGTAATCGGCGGGAAATGAAAAAATTTTAAAAACTGACATTCACTAAATACACTAAAATTACATAGTAAAACATTACTGTATCCAACCATTTCACATACATTTTGTCCCTAGTGCTTTGTCCTGTGCCCTGCCTGCATTTTTACTGTTCTTTCTGCCTGGAAACTGAGAAACGTCCATGGCGTCCAAAAAGCATCCCTTTAGGTTAAAAGCAGTTTTAGACCAGCTAGAGAACAGCGATAGTAAATTAGAACTACTTGCAGAATTGAGTGATAATGATTCGTGGGGAAATTCGTCATCAGTAGAGATGAGCGAATGGAACATGACGAAGTGGAATTCGTTCCGAAGATTTGGAAAAATTCTATTCGCGACGAATCCGAAGATTAGCAAAATTCGGATGCACAAATCGAATTTTCCCAAAAATGGCGGCGACATGTGTGGCGACGGAGAAAAATGGACAGAGAAGATGGGGCGGGGATCTCTGGGAAGGCGCGCAGACAAGGCGCGCTGACCCATAATGCATTCATGACATGTGATCGCATTAGCCAATCAGCAGCCAGCCAGCACTGTGTAATGGTGGAGCTATAAATCGCGGCCATCTTAGAATTCTCCATTAGCCTCCGGTCATTCAAGAGAGACAGACCTGTGTGTATTAAGGGACAGAGTTGGGGCCACAGAGACTTTAGGGCCACAGAATCGTTACTCAGGGACACAGAATCGTTACTCAGGGACACAGAATCGTTACTCAGGGACACAGAATCGTTACTTAGGGCCACAGCTATCAAAGAATCGAAAATTTAAAGTGACATACACCCTTTTTTTTTTTGGTGGCTGTCGTGCACAGTTGGTGCTGCAGTTTGCCGATTGTGCAAAATAAACTGACTTTCTGCTTCACAACCACTATTGTACGTTCAAAGAGTTAGATCCATTTACACGCCGGCTGGCGGTAATATTTTTTGGGTGATTAGTGCATTCCAGTGACCTAAACGTACAGTTTCCAGCCAACGGCAAGCTGCAATTGACCGATTGTGTACAATAAACTGACTTTCTGCTTCACAACCACTATTGTACGTTCAAAGAGTTAAATCCATATACACGCCGGGTGGCGGTAATATTTTTTGGGTGATTAGTGCATTCCAGTGACATAAACGTACAGTTTACAGCCAACGGCAAGCTGCAATTGACCGATTGTGCTAAATAAACTGACTTTCTGCTTCACAACCACTATTGTACGTTCAAAGAGTTAAATCCGGTTTTATTTTTGGGGTGCTTATTGAATTAAAGAGTATGTCAGACAACACGCAGAGGAGTGGCAGAGGAGGCAATGTTTCAGGAGCGAGCAGACGTGGCAGCAGAGGAAGGGGTCGAGGCAGAGAACTAGTCGCAGCCAGAGGCCAGTGCTCCCGGTGTCATCCAGCGGTCGTGTCTCCACCGACAACCCTGCCGTCATCGATTGGTTGGCTCGGTCGTCTTCCTCTTCCCAGGTCACCTCTGACACCTACAGCCAACGGTCGGTGGGTACGTCAGACACAACCGTTAGTTGGCATGGCCCGGGAGCAAGCCCACTGAAATCACGTGTCCTCGACCTGCCCCTGTCCTTTGGTGTTCCCTCACCAAGCGAAGTATCGCATGCTGTGGGCTCAGCCCCACTGTACAGTGAGGAAGAGCTAACAGAGGGCGGTCAGGAACGGGGGGAGACATCCGCCTCTTCAGCAGCCAGGCGAAGAAGTACTGGCGAGGAGAGTGGCTCGGTAGCCGGTCTAGAGACAGGTCTGTCTCCTGACCCACACGCAGCCGAGGGGGCTAGTAGTGACGCGGAGACCCTAATTGATGGTGATGAGGCTGATCGCACTTGGCAGCCTCGTCGTCATCAGGCTATTGCTTCCGCATCATCAGGAGAAGAGGGTGCCAGCTTGCCAGCGAGCAAAACAGTCGGTGGGTTGCCCAGGGAGGCAGCAGGGTCGCAGCAGTGTCAGTGGAGCCAAACGGCCACGGAGTAGAGCACCAGCTCCACTGCAGCCTACCACCACGGCCAGTAGTGGTGCCGGTGTGCACGGAGGAAGTAGCAGTCAGCCAGTGAGGAGTAGCTGGGGCAAAGTTTCCTACTCGGCGGTGTGGCAATTTTTCGTCAAGCCGCCCGAGGAAGTAAACGTAGCCTTATGTCGACTATGTGGCCAGAAAGTCAAGCGTGGCCAGGGGGCCAATGTTGGGACTACAGCGTTGCGTCAGCATATGCAGCGTTGCCATTCGGTGGCCTGGGAAAACCGTGATAAAGATACGGCGGTTCTGCCTGCCCCAGCCCCCGCTCCATCACCCGCTCCGTTACTTGCTCCGTCACCCGATGTCAATCGCCCTCTATCAGCCAGTCAAGGCTCCAACACCTCTGCTGAGGGGAGTTGTCGCTCGTTGGCATCTTCCGCTCGTTCAGATGCTCCTTCTCCTGCTACTCCCCTTCACGGATTCCGTCAGCAGTCTTTCTTGGAATCCGTTTCCAAGAGACAACAGTTTGCGAGCACGCACCCGACGGTGCAGAAGCTGAACGTCCTCCTGTCCAAGTTGCTGGTGCTGCAGTCCCTCCCTTTCCAAGTGGTGGACTCAGCACCTTTCCGAGAAATGATGGCTTGTGCCGAGCCGCGGTGGAGAGTGCCAAGCCGTCATTTCTTCGCCAAAAAGGCAGTGCCAGCCCTGCATTCACATGTAGAAGAGATGGTGGGCCAGTCTTTGAGCATGTCGGTCTCTGCCAAAGTGCACGGCAGCGCCGACGTGTGGAGCTGTAACTACGGTCAGGGACAATACATGTCATTTACGGCCCACTGGGTGAACGTGGTGCCGGCACAGCCGCACCAGCAACTTGGACAGGTCACGCCGCTTTTGCTTCCACGTTTGCACGTCCTTGGTCCACAAAAGATGTCCGCCTCTACCACCTCTTCTTCCGCCGTGTCCTCAGCCGCCACCCCCGTGCCAAGTCCCATTACCCGACCGGCATATCACATGTGCAGGGCGTAACGGTGTCACGCTGTGCTGCACCTGGTATGCCTTGGCGAACGTAGTCACACAGGGGAGGAACTTCTGAGTGTAATGAACAGAGAAATCGACAGATGGCTGTCTCCGCGCAAACTGAAAATCGGAACCATGTTGACCGACAACGGAAAGAACATGGTGTCTGCTCTGCGTCAAGGAAGGTTGTGCCATGCGCCATGCATGGCTCACGTGTTCAATCTGGTTGTCAAGCGGTTCCTAAAATCCACCATCCCACTGCAAGACATCCTTAAAATGTCACGTAAACTTTGCATGCATTTCAGCCATTCCTACACCGCAAAGCACACCCTCCTTGAGCTGCAGCGGCAGAACGGAATTCCACAGCATCGCCTGATCTGCGACGTTGCAACAAGGTGGAATTCAACCCTACATATGTTAGACCGCCTTTACGAACAGCGAAAGGCCATCACCGATTTCCTGATGTTACAAGCGGATAAAGGTACTCCCCTGTGTAACTTAGATGTCAGCCATTGGCAGCTCATGCGTGACACCTGCCGCTTGCTCAGGCCCTTTGAGGAGGCCACGCTATTCGTGAGTCGGCAGGACTATGGGATGAACGACGTCATTCCTCTGTTGCACGTCCTGGAACAAATGCTGTTAACAATGGCTGGTCAGGGTGCGGTAGACGTGGCGCACAGATCTCAACGCCACATGACCCTTGTGGGGGCAGGACAGGAAGAAGAGGAGGAGGTAGAGGAGGACATTGGTGCTCAGGAATTATTGAGTGAAATGGGTGGTTTTTCCACTCAGCGGACAGGAGTGGAGGAGCAGGAGCATCTGGTAGAGGAGGAGGAAGAGGAGACAGAGGAACCCAGACGCACCGTGGCAGTATGCTGTGGAGATGGAGGCAGGGAGTCCCTCGCATTCCTTGGCACAAATGGCCCACAATGTCTCCTCACACTGCTGGTGGGTTCCATTTTGTCATAGGGTGCTGTATGGCCTCCCATTGCTGCTGCCTCCACCGCCACACTGTGGCTCCACACTCTGGTTTTGGCCCCGTGACTGCCCAAATGAGTGAAGTGTGCGGTGATTCTAAGATCGACGGCACTCAACTGCATGTCATACTGACTGACAGTATTATTTCTCTTCCCCAGCAGACTCCAAGGGCATTTAAATTAAAGGTACAGTGTTCTGCACTAATATAAAGGCTCTCTGAAGCCTAGAAACACCCTTTTTATAAGTTAAATTCGCAGCGAATATATTCGGCTCGAAGCGAATTTATTCCGCGAATTCGGCGAATCAGCCGAACCGAATTTTTGAATAATTCGCTCATCTCTAGTCATCAGACACTGAAAACGATTTTGCAACTAAGATCAGTCATGTGCGAACTTGGCGCTCTATTTCAAATTTCAGTGTTTTTGGTTTGATTACATTATTGAATTCAAATTATTATTATTATATTATTATTTTTTATGATTATTTATTAAATTATAATTTATGATTTCGTGTTTCAAATTTTATCATACCCGGGATGTTTACTAGACTCTTGTTCGGACAGATTTCAGTGAGGTATTCGTAAGAATTACAGGCCTACAATAAAAAAAACAACATATTTCCATGCAAAAAAAGTACCACTTTGAGCACAGAAATACTGACATAATCAGACCGCTAGGGAGGTTAACTGGCCAGATCAATATCCCAGGAGTTTAATTGAATTGATGCTATTCTCTGATTAAAAAGCGTTCCTTTAATTTGTTTGAGCAGTGTTAATTAAATCTGTTTTTTTAAGAATTTAAGAATTGCGAAACTCGAGCATTTTAAAGCAAACCTTTCCATTCTCTATGTAATACCATCCTAATCTACTACATAAGCTGCAAATGCACTTTTTCTTTTCCCCAAAAAATGCAGTCTAAGCATACTAACTCTTAATGATATGCAAATTCTGATGTTCTAATCTTCATCCCTAACCAAACTCCTGGATGCTGATTTACTCAGAGTGCAGTGACACATGCCTGTCACAGGAAGGGCAGAGGTATCTTTAAAGTAGGGACTGTGATTGACAGTCTGGCTTCAACTTTTACATTCTGCAAGAGAGGCAAGATTGCAGAATCCAATGGGGAAATAAATAGGTTTTGTTGGACTGAGTTTTTGTTTAATGACAGTGCACCAGTGAGGTTTTATAAGCAGTGAACAGTTCATATTTGGCAGCAATGCTTTAAAAACATGTACAAATATGAGGGTATTTATAGTCTTACATCTAATTTCATTGTGTAGGGCTAAATATGATT